CTGCAGTATGGCCCTACCAACACTTTCTTTCTTCTCTATCAGCACGTCCATCGTCAACGAGAACACATTCTACCTGATAGTAAGTGGAAACTGTAACCCATAGACATCTACATCTAACCTCTGCTAATAATCATAATACAGAATCCACTGTCACCCCTGATAACTTCTTAAATATTTCATTTTTGAATGCCATTTTCACTAAAAAGAATCTAAGAGTTTCCAGTAAATGGGTAAAAGTCTAAGCAGGTGCAGACCTAGATGAAAAGAAAGAAAAAAAATTTTTTTTTTCAAATACTTAATGTGTGGTAAATATATTTATTAAGATCTTACTGGCATATCGGTCGTTACCTCATGGAAATGACTGAAATTGAACTTATATAAAAAATTGACAGCCTCGTTGCTCTAGTGGTCGTAAATGCGGTTGCTGACCATGATTTTCCAAGTTCCAAATCTTGGATTGGTCAAATATCAGTCATTGGGTTACTTGTGCATTTGGGCAATAATTTCGGTCGTCCGTAACCCCGCATGTCGGTCACCTCGCGAACTAGATCCAGATATTTTGTTTTCTTATTTATTTTGGCTTTCCCGAGGTATTACTATTAATATTAAAGACAATGGTGCGATTATATCACCATGAATTTGAAACCAAAGGTATTTTTAATTAAATTAATGAATTCTAGAAATCATCCTCAAACTTGACTGAAAATGATAGTGCTAGTAGTGTAGTGTAGTGTAGTAGTAGTTTGCAGCAGTAGTCGGTTTATTATACAATTCAAATCGAATCTTCACGGATTCCATTAGAATTGTAGAATTAAAAAGTCATTATTTTAATTCCAGTCCTTAGCCATTAAACTAGGTACTGTACCATTTAAAAACCTTCTATAAACTTCTACACTAGAAACGACTCATTTACAACTAATGATCTAAATTGACCGTAATACTGTATGATCCTTAGTTTCAATAGATTTTAAGCAAGATGAAAACTCGATTACTTTCGTCGTTTCGCCTTTCGCCAATTGAAATATATACATAAAAAATATATAAGTATACACGCAAAAAACACACACACACACACACACACACACACACACACACACACACACACACAATTGCATGACTCCTGTTCTCTTCGCATCAAATCAGATGCTCGTTAAGAAATACTGGGAGCTGTAAATTTCAGTGCGGCGACAATTTACTGAATTAATTTTTGAACAAGGAACCACAAAACAATTACTTATTAAGACTTTTTTTAACTTCTGTATAAAACATTCCTTTCCTTAGCGAACTTGAACTTTATTTTATAGTGTACCTACATAAAATATTAATGTCACTTTTATTAATTTATCTGTTTTAGTTTTTTTTTTATACATTAATTAAGTATTGTATAAACTAGGAACCATTTTAAATTACTCAAATTGCTCTACCGTTAACAGAAATCTGGAAAACAAATTTAATACTATCGATATTAAATCGTAGATACTAAAAAAAAATACAAACGTAGTCACAATTCTTTTAATAAAATTCCCTCCAGCTTTCGAGGAGGACAGGATTAAACGGAACGGAAAGTCCGAGCTGCAGTTGTCTCTCTCGGATATCTAGGGTACCGAAGCTAGTAAGGGTTACCGAAGCTAGAAGACAACAACATGCCTACAGAATATGCAGTATTACTCAAACACTGCATCATATCTGGCCATTTATTGTGGAAGGAAGAGTTCTACAAGCAAGTAGATGATGTGGCGATGGGCTCACCTGTATGTCCCGTAGTCGCCGACATATTCATGGAGGACTTTGAGGGGAAAGCTCTTCTTACTGCTCCTATAAATCCAAGATTCTACAAGCGGTATATAGACGATACTTTCCCAATTTTACCATCTGATAAAGTAACTGCATTTTTTGACCACCTTAATTCTATAAACTCTAAAATACAATTCACAATGGAGCAAACAATTCTTTAGCCTTCCTAAATGTTGTAGTCATCGGAAATCCTGACAACACTATTATTTACACTGTGTATGGGGAAAAAAGCCCATACCAACCGATATTTAAATGGTGCACCATCATCCATCACAGTTAGCTAAAAAATATTTGTTTCAGAGAGAATGACGGATCTGTGACAGAAAACATCTGGCCGCCGAGCATCAGCTCGTCGAGTAAGTATTGCAAGAAAACAAACTTCGGGTCCCGCGCCTACGTCACAGTGACCGAGTGAAGCCGGCCACAGTCGAGCGTGTGCCTGCTGTACTACCCTACATCAGAGGAGTCACAGACAAGTTTGGCTACATCTTGAAGCGAGTTTCCATTAAAACATACTTCAAGCCACCGAAGAAGATTAGTCAATTTTTACCATCAGTCAAGTGTCATATCCCTCTACAAGATGCAGAAGTGTACAAGCTGTGTGAATGTGGTCTCTCTTACATAGGACAAACAAAAAGATCTATAAAAACCTGCGTAAAAAAGAAAGAAAGAAAGAAAAAATATTTATTTTAACATACACACAAGGTACCAGAACACAGAAACGAAATCAAAACAAAAAGAACAAGTTCACGAACGAACAAACAGGCTGTAAATGAGAAAACAAAGATAATTAAAATTAAAAGGAAGAAAAAAAAGTTATATATATATATTATTATTAAAACTAGTGCCTCAGGGTAGCGACAAAGATAGGAACCAATTCAGCATGATGTCAGGTTGGAAACCTAATGCTGATTTTCTATTGGTCCCCTGAATTGCATTCGTCTTCAGCTCCGAAACCAGTTACCGTGTACTTCCGCAAGAACAATCAGTATACGTGAACTTTATGAAAAGACATATATAAGTGCTTTTAATAAATGATTATTAAAATAGGTATATAATATATAACAAGATGTAGATTAAATACTTATTTATTAATAGGATACAGCGCGTGAATCTGTACCAACATAATAACATCAATGATGAGGAAAAAAAACACAGAAACAGAAAATGTACCTCTTGAATAACCATCAAATATAGGACATATTAGTGTTAGTGTTAACCATGCCTAGGTCTTTTTATGCATTTAATAAGTACTGTTTTAGGTGACTTTTAAAGCTAGTAATAGAGCTTAGCTGCCTGAGAGACGGTAGTATGTTATTCCATATTTTCGAGGCTGCATAGTGAAATGCACCCTTGAAGGATGCCGAAGGTATAAGCCTTTGTAGAGAAAGTTGCTGTGAACACTTTCGACTATTGCATTGCCTCCTTGTAGCAACCCAGCCGAGTTTATTGTACAAGTAAGATGGTTCTTGATGTTTTATCAACATGCCTACAGAACTTATAGCTGACTTGGAGTACCGACGATCCGGGAAGACTGCAGTGTGTGAACATGTTGAAGATCGTCCCCGTGATTACATTAGACTTGATAGACCACAAATCCTCGCAAAGGAACACCGATTCCTATTAAGAATGATTCACAAGGCTATTGAAATTACGAAACATCCTAATTTCAATAGAGAAGATGGATGGGTGCCATCTGCTTGGGATCTTATAATTAATAAAATTAAATCCAAACCCAAATATACCACTGCAAGACTTCAAGATACTGTAAGCTCATTCAAAAACTGAAGGTAGCCGGGCTAACTATCATATCGGGACGTCCAATACCTCAGTCGCGCCCCCCCCCCCCCCTGTGACCATAGGTGCTGTAAAGCATCCCAAACTTCGGGAATTAAAAAGTTAAATTAAACGTGATAAAATCCGTAAATAATAATTTCATTGATTGTGTAGTCTTCGCGTAAATATAAGAAATCATTAACTGTTGTTATTCTCCTTTTATTATTTCATGTAATTTATATATACATACGTATATGTCTATCGATATCGCTTTTTAGCGATAAGACTGCGTTATTAGAACTGTTTCAAATAATTATTTTTCTTTTTGTGTACATGCATATAATTTTCGTAACATAGTGTACCAATTGTCCTATGTAGGTAACCAGAAGAAGTATAGAGAAAAATATTTACTTAAATTTTCATATTGTGTTATGGATTTAATATTAAATAATATGATATTTAAGACATTTTTCTTAAAAATTACTTATTTTCGATTCGAACCCACGACCTTTTAAGTTCGCGGTCCGCACTCTACCATGAGGCTACTGTCGCTTCAATATTAGTATTTTTATAGTTATAGATAAGAGTGAATAAATAATTGTTTAAGCCAGAATATGATTTCTCTAGTCATGCCAAATCATTTAAGAAAATAGTTTGTCAAAGCAGTTATGTGTGCTCATATGGTTATAATTACCTTGAGACAACGTGTCTATTTTATAAAATTATTAGTCACCGCGCGTGTAAGCAAGCATTTTTTTTTATTAGTAATAAGTGTGGAAGGGAAAAAATTATAGACAAGTACTACGTTTTAGTCTCGTGTTTTACGGGATGAAATACTTATAAAAAAAATACGAAAAGAATATATTGATTAAGCAGCAAAATTTTATGTGTATTTTCGCTTAATAATTTAAAGCTATCTTAAGAGGCGTTATCCTGTACAAGACATTCCGTAATGTTCATAAGTACCCCAATCATCAATCAAATTTAATTCAAATATCAAACACGATTAATAAAGGATGAAGGTTTTCTTTGTAAAATTTCTTGTTTCTTAAAATTCAGAATATAAATAGTTTAATTCCAAATACAATTCAAGGTATATTCGATCCAGTTTATCACAGTTTTAATTAAAATTTGATACATAATATGACAAGATATTGTTTTCGCCAACAATTTCATGTTTGTGTCGTATTAATTTTAAGTTATAATATATCAACCATTGTAAGGTTTACTGTGGCATATATAAGCCTACGTGCCGACTATATGGTTTTTGACTAAAACAAGTTCGGTGCAGAAAAGACGCGCGATATATTTTCAAATGTTAAATAACGGCCGCTGCTTTTGATACGTAGAACAGTCTCTCTCGTGTGCTGATTTTTTTAACAAGTGGCCAGGACGTTTTGTTGAGTGAATTTAAAATAAATAAAATGAAAATGAATATAAATATTTTTCTTTTGATAACGTTATTTCTTATTCAAAGGAGCCACGGAGTGATTTATGAATTAAACGGTAAGTACCCTGTGATGATTTGTATTTTATGATCTGTTTTGTAAACGGAAACTTTAACTATAATTATAATTTTGCGTTTGAGTTTTTTCGTACTTGAAAATATTTTCAGTTGAAATAAAATTGCAATATTTATAAAAAAAAATATTTTTCAAACATGTTTACCAATGTTTTTCGAAAACTCTTATTATTTATAACTCCCCTATGATAATAAAATATAAAGGATCAATGCCTCAATCCAATATTTTTTCTAACATATCGAATTGAGGCTTTTACCGTGCCTTCTTTCTCTTCATTATTTTTAAATAGTTTTCATATTTTTAACATATTTTAATTCTCATTATGGATTTTGATTCTTAAACTTTATTAGAAAAATATTGTAACATGTTATGATTTCTTATATTTACGCGAACACTACACATTGAATAAAACTATTTTTACGGATTTTATCGCGTTTAATTAACTTATTTTATATTCCCGACGTTTCGGTTGCTGGAAATTGTAACATGTTATCAGACCACTTGTAATAATATTAAGTATCTTAAACGGTTTAAAAATAGAAATAAAAGTAAAATATAAGTTTATATTACACATAAACTTATGCATTTGTTACGCACATTATATTATTATATTCATTATGGTACTCCTGATTACTTAGAGTCTGCTTTTGCTGTTAATATTTTGTTTAAAATTATTCAGTAATATATTAATAATAATTAAATATTGATACTATTTCTGAATAATTGACTGTCTCTGGATTGTATTGGACAAAACGTGTTGCACCCTTATGCCATAGAGACGAGGAGATCAATCCAATATAGCGGAACTGGCAATAAACCATACCATTTTATTTCTTAGAGATGAAAACACATACCTCATTTTGATTCTAAATGTAGGTTGTGTATGGGTCACAAAATTAGGTTACCATCAGACGGATTGTGTGCTTGTCAGTCTAATTTCTAAAAGAAATCACATCTTACAGACGAACTGGGATACGAGTGTATCGATTCTGCATTCTGAGATTTTCAACCCGCATTTTGTCGTTTATATCGTCGTAAATTTTTTTTTGGTATTTATTGTATTTCCTATAGTAAGGATGCAAAGAGCGAACTTAATTCCTATAAGCGTTCTCTACCAGTCAACAAATCTTTCAAGATATGCATCGTAAAATAAATAAGATATTACTCATTAAAATGCAACATTCACTTTTATTTATTCATTATTTTGCATTGACTATGTAGTGGCGGTGAAAGAATAGCCACTGCCCTATATCGTCCCTTGGGTGTCGGAAAAGATAACATAGGTAAACAAGCCAGGGTTTGGGCAGCAACGTCTTCCTAATAACAACAAAAACTAAAAGCTGCGGTAGTCAACCCACCTGCCAAGCGTGTCCATCATGGCAATTTATAGGGGAGGCCTATGTTCACTAGTGGACTTTGATAGGCTGTAATAAATTTAGCACATTCAACTGGCAAATATAAAGGATTTTATCCAACTGCCAAATTAAACAGCAAAGTTATTTAGAATTGCTTTTAATAAATTATATACGTTGCGATTTAGATTTTCGTAGTTTTATCTATAGACTAGCTGTTCCCCGCGACTTTGCCCGCGTGTTATTTGGGGTTTTAATATTTTTGCGCGGAACCCTAATTCTATTTCTAAAATAAAAGTAGCCTAAGTTACTCCTTATAACATCAGCTATCTGCCAGTGGAAATCCCGTCAAAATCGATCCAGCCATTTCAGATATTAGCCGGAACAAACAGACAGACAGACGGACAGAAAAACTTGTATTTTTGTTATTTGTACCGTATATACTTTCATATGCATTTAGTAAAAAGCTGTAATTTTTACATTACAAACAGAAACTTAAATTTTTTTTAATTATATAGATTTTTGAAACGTTTGTTTTTGATAAGTTGTTTTGATAAGGTCGGTTAATAAAGGCGCGAAACGTATTCCGACTCTTAGAACGCCCACCACGCAATTGTGTTGATATATTTTTTAATCCAGAACCATACAACTTGTGTGTTTATTTCTAAAGTGACGTTTATGAATTGATCTTGGAATAGATTATTATTTTTTAAACTTTTGACAGGTATAATGTCATTCTAAATTAGGGCATAAATAATATAGACATAAAGACATTTAATCAAACTCTTACATCTTCTACACACATGACAAATTACAATTAAAAATAAAACAAATAACTTATAAACAAACAAAAATTTGAATAAAGAAAAGAAGTTCGTCCATTACATGTGTGTATGCAAACGCACATTATAATTAATCAAAAAAATAATTAATATTATATTTAAAAAAAAATCGTGAGCTATAATGAAGTGGTGGAAGGGACCGTCTAAGCATAAGCCGCGAGCTTGCAGCGCTGACATTCAGTCGACCCCGAACAAGTTCGGACGGTCAACTTTATGCGGGCGAGTATTCTTTTTTATCTGTATTCTATACCCACAGATATGTGTCTATACCTCATGTGAGATAGGCCGTAGACGGTAGTATGCAGAGTCCCTACGTTTTACTAAAATGTTTATGATAAAATATATATATATATATATATATATATATATATGTATGTATATATATATGAATAAGTTATATAATAAATAAATACTTAGTAATCAGTAATTTATCATTAAAGGTATAAATTAAATTTAAATATATGGTCAGATCTTGATCAAATTTTTATGGGACCACATGACAAGCACAAGCTTTCAAATAGAAAAGGATTATCAAAATCGTTTCACCTTGAAAAAATTTCTGAGGTAACACATAAAAATAATACAGTCGAATTGAGTACCTCCTCCCTTTTTGAAGTTGATTAAAATGGTAATATAAATACAAAATAAAAAAATGATCAAACACAAAAAATATACATAAAAAACCTGTAATAAAAATGAATAAACTCTAAGCTTAAACTACTTAATCCTTTTGTGGTATAGATGAATATATTATAAATCATGTCAAAATATCACCAGTGTTAGAACATTTTATTGAGCTTTATTTTATTTTTCTTTTACTATTGTTAATATTATTTAAAAAAATAGGAGATTATTATATACTTAACGCCTTTAGGCTATAAGGAAATAAACTAATAATAGAAATAATAATATATTTATTTGCATAAAATTTGGTATGAAAAACATTTTATAAATTAATATAGTAAGTATAAATCGAAAAACATGTCTTGCTACAATCATACACAGCATGCTTAAGTTTTTGTTTTTTTACATTAAGACTTATTATTAATAAAGTCCATAATGCTGTGAAAATTATTTTTTATTTAGTAGATATTCCTGTAATTTTGATTTATATAATGTAGTATTTAACATTTTAAGTAGTGAATCTTGTTATATAAATCTGCACATAGATAAAGAGCTTTTATTATATTTACTTTTTCTAGAATCGTCTCATAAAATGAGCTTGTATAGATTTCGTCGAATCCGAGGATTTAGATCATCTGCCGTTTTAGATAAATATTTACGCTTCCATAATAACATGCATATTTCATATACTTATATATAGACATGGTAAGGATAATAAGCCAGTTTTTCAAGCACCTGTTTTAAGCACATAAAGATAAAGGCACATGTTAACACTAACACGTTTCGTTTATTCGTGTAGTTTTTACATAAAATAGCGGTAATTAAAACTTGTTACGAATTTTAACTATACCCAAAATTTATTTTGGGACTTTCCAAAGTTTTTATTTTAAGCGATGGGGCTAAAGAAAGAGATTTATAACTATATACATATTTATTTTCATTAATGCATTAATAATTGGATGAATAAAATTTTATATTTACGCGAATACTTACTACACATTGAATAAAACTAATAATAGAAACACGGATTTTATCGCAAATAATTCAACTTACTCAAACTTAATTTTATAAATCCCGACATTTCGGGTATTTTACAGTATCGGTGGTCACGGGGTGGCTGGGGTACGGTGTGAACAAAGCACCACGAACTTCGGAAATTAAAAATGAAAAAAAAAATATTTTTATTATACTTATTTCATTTCTTACTTTTTTATGTCTATTTGTTTATTTTATTTCGATATTTTTCATGTCATCATATTATATTACTATTATCGTCTTAATTTATTTACATGTATTTGAAGTAATATAGAAAGGTGCGAAATTCTATTTATAAAATATAAAAACAGATGACCTTATAGCAAGAAAATATACACCTTATAGGGAACAGGTTTCGGTAGTAACGTTCTAGTATTGTCTCTCTAGACAAATTTCTATATTATGTTTTATTATATTTTTTATAAATTTTTCGGATTGTCAACATATAAAACAGCAATACATGTATGGTTCATTCATTCATATATTCATTATACCCATTAACAAGTCCACTGCTAAACAAAGGCCTCCCCCAAGGAATGGCACAAAACACGGTCCAGAGCCACCTGCATTCATCGACTTCTTTCATGTCTTACCAGGTCATTACTCCATTAAGTGGCGGGCCGCCTTACACTTCGCTTAGCGGAGCGGGTCTGTCACTCGAAAACCAAATTCTTAGCAATGTCGGTTACTCTAGTTCTACTACGGATATCCTCATTTTTAAGTCTATCACGCAGAGAAATATTGATCTTAGCCCTCTTCACAGCTGGTTGAGCGACCTTCAGCTTTTTATTACTCATATGATTAGATTACAATATTATTAATTTACATAATTTATTGCTCTTATAATTGTAAGCAATCACAGCATGTGTTGTATTACAATAAGTTAGTCAAATTAAACAAAAATGTATCAAACATAATGAAAATAAATAGAAGTTTAATATAATTCACTTAATTTATAATGGGAAAGCTTGCGTATCGCCGTAGGAATCCGAATAGGAGCGGCGATTTGTCAACCTCATCAGCGTCTCTGTGGTAGCAGCGTCGACGAGTTTGGGTTCCACGGACTTTCATGTAAGAAAAGTGCTGGTAGGTTTTCACGGCGCGTTTCTTTGAACGATGTCATCCGAAGG